GCTGAAGGCCTGCTGTCAGCAGCAGCTGAAGGCCTGCTGTCAGCAGCTGCAGCAGCTGAAAGAGCTGCAGGGTGAACAAAGTTTCCTCCTGCTGGCTGACAGCAAATAGCCAGATTTCAGACTCGCAGTGAAAGTCCTCAGCTGTTTGCTCCAGTTTCCGCTCAGAAATATCTCGGTGACAGCAGAAAACAGGCTGCGGAGGAAAACCACCGGCTGGTCGGGTCTCCCAACAACGAGACCGGGCTCTGGATGAGCAGGAACAATAACCAGCTCTTGATGCTGCAGCCCGGCGCTAACAGCAGCAGGAAACACTTCCAAAACACTTTTGTTCTCACATCACGTCCGACAACTTCCATACCTTGTTTTGGAGGCCAAGAAGGCGAGTTTTATCAGTCCGTGAGTGCAAATCTGGATCCCCTCCTTTTCTATACTCGCCACTTTCAAGCTATGCTCTAAAATGTGGAGCTCCATCTTTTACGTCTTCTCATTTGAGGAACGACTAAAATATAACCAAAAGAAAGAAAATAGCTAAATACTTTCAAAAAGAATGCATAAATAAATAAATACACACATACGGCAGGCCGGGGCGCATTAAACAGAGAAAGAAACGGGGAGGCAGGGAGGAATAAAGAAAGCAAAGGAGGTAAAACCCGGACCTGCAGTCAAGCGCACGACCGAACCCCGTTCGCTTCCGCTCGAGGGTTTTCAGAATAAAACCCAAAGAATCATAAACATGTAGCTAGCATACCTTTAAAGCTGGTAAAATACAAAAACACCATGCAGGTTTATTTTAGACTTATTAGACTTAACTTGTTCCTCTTTACTTAATTAAGAGAGTACGTTAGCAGAGGTCTGCAACTTAAATATACACTCACTAATTAGCACACACTGCTAGCAAACGTTAATTAGCATAAACCAAAGGTACAGATCCATTATTGACAAAATATTGGTATTTTACTCTAAATGTACAATTTAAAACATTTCCAGAATCTTCACTACTTTATTAACCATGTTCGAATGTTATTATAAATATTGCTACAACTCTGTTAGCAAGGTAGCTAACTAGCCGTTGCTAACTTTCAAGGCGATTTCTGGTTGCCTAGCAACAGCCCAGTTCCTGTGAGTTGCCAAATGTTTCAGGATGCGAACCAAAGTCAATTTTTCCAAACTAAAAGCCAATCGTCTGCATGAAGAGGCAAATAACCGGCTCTGAACAATAAACTAAAAAGCCAAATTTTTACCCACCTGCCCGAACCAAAAGGTACAATACAAAATAATCATAAATTGATTTTAAAACTTTGTAAAATTACCATAAGAACAAAATGCAACACAAATTGAAATGACGCAGTCACAAAAACGAAAACAACAACAACAAAAAAAAATGGATTAAAATGATACACAAATATAATGCAAAATATAGCAATAAAGCCAAAATAGGATGCAAGTAAAAATAGATAAATAAATGAACTAACCCAATATGAGATGCAACATTTTTCAGTCAGGTCATCTGGAAAGTTTCTTTTTTTTTGTGCTGAAACGTTTCGCCTTCGGTCCGGAAGGCTTCATCAGTCAAGGAAACACTCAACAAAACTGATTCTTCCTCCAACAGCTTTCTCCAAAGTGGAACAAACCAGTTCTGCTTGTGATAAGATGGTCTCTTTGGTACGCCCCCTCCTCCATTGCCGGCCCTCTTCCTTGTTGACAGTCGTGTCAAACTGGTTGAAAACAACAAAGTCCATGCTCAATAATCCAGGAATACGATCCAACATTTTTCAGTCAGGTCATCTGGACAGTTTCAGCACAAAATTAAAAAAAAAAAAAGAAACTGTCCAGATGACCTGACTGAAAAATGTTGGATCGTATTCCTGGATTATTGAGCATGGACTTTGTTCCAATACGAGATGATTATCTTAAAGATGTAGTAACGGAACATAAAAAGAAATGCTAAAAGTATCTCTGGGTAACAGAGTAACACTTTGCATCGGTAGGTTCGGTAAGTTTGAACACATAAAAACAAAGTGACTTTTTATTTTATTTTACCGAAGTTTTGTTGTATCAAAACTTTCAAATTACGAACGGACTTTTAATCCACAGTGACACTTTCTCAAATGTTTATGCCATTTAAATACAAACTCCAGTAACTTAAATTTGAAAGTCAACCCCAAAAACGTGAAACAACAAATGTCTGCGCTCTTAGGCCTCGCGCCTTTATGTTGAAGGAGCAATGTGAAAGCGGAAGTGGTTTTCTGCTCTTCTTCCGGCAGCTCCTGAACGGGAGCCCGCTGGTGCCCATGTTTGCTCTCCGACTGGAATAGTTAGCAGCTGGTCCGAGTGAAACAAACAACTTGCCATTCAAACGAAGGGGGCGGGACTTCTGGAGCGCGGAACACTGGGAAATGTAGTTATTGTTGTTTTTATTCCCCAAACGAGCTAACGTTTAGGACATAATGTCATAAAAGGCAGCACAGCTTAAATGCGGCACTGTTTTTGGCAAAGTTATCATTTAATTCACGTTCTAGTAACATTTTTTATTTTAGTTTAAAGCTCAGGCAGGTATTTTTCCACAGGTGATACTTCCTCATTTGTGCAAACGTTCAAGTCATTTATCAAGACTTTAAAATATTTTCATACAGTAAAGACCCAAATAGTGCATTATAGATATAATAATAATAAGGTATTTAGTAATTGCTGGCAATAGATGATCCTTACAGAGAGTTTTATGTTTATTTAGTGAATTGAGCCTTCTTCTCTTTGAATCAGATTGTAGTTCTGTCTGCAGCTACATGACTTAATGTATTTTCAGAATAAAATCTTGTTTCCAGTTGGTCTGAGTGTTTGATCAGCTCCTGCTGTGAAGCTGCAGATGAACGGCACAAACTTATTAATCTGTCTTTGCACATCACATAATAATATAACTCTTACATTACGCTTTTTGCCCTTTTCTCTAAAAAGTCACATGTACATCTTTAATTTGAAAGGGTGCACTAAACAAAACATTTACTAAAAACAAGCCTCAAGTTTAAAGCCAATCTTCGAATTATGCAGTATTTAAAAAAACGCACAGTGACGTGTAACTTTGTGAACAACAATCGAGTGTTAATTGTTATGAAAGGACAAAAAAGCAGAATCCTGAACTATGAATTTTTTACTCTGTCGTTATCACAAACTATTTATTTTCTTTTCCCAACCAGTTTCAGATCATTACTCAGCTGAAGCTCGTCCTCTTCTGCATTTATATTTAAAAAAATGCATATAACCTCCTGAAAGTTATGAGTTTGGTTATTGATTTAAAGTTTATCTGAACTCCTAACTGCTCAAAAACAACGTTTGCTTTTATATTAAGAGGAATAGTTTAGACGTGTCCATTGCCCCCCTCTGCCCCCCTCTGGAGTCGCCCCTGAATGGACACAGACTTCGTGGGGATAAATAACAACGTATGACTGATCTTCATCCCCAAACGCAGTCCTCCTCACATGTTCAGGTCACGATAAAACAAAACAGAAACGACACAAAGACTTTGAACGTACCTCAGAGTTTGGTGATCCCACATCGTTTGTTTTTGTTGTTGTTTACAAACTGAACACAGAAAAATAGGCTTGACCAGTTGAGGGAAGAGAAAAAACACATTTGACAAATTTAAATACAATTGTTGACTTCTAGGGACGACTCTCAGCTACTACCATGACAAACTTTACCACAGTACCTCTGAGTTATTGCTGTTTCTGAGTTGGCTAAAGTCAATTAACTGTGGCGGCCATCTTGAACTGCGTAGTTCAACTGTAGATGTACTTCCAGTGGTTATTTTCTTAGTGTTTCATTAAAATCCATCCAGTGATTCGTGAGGTTTTTTTGCTAACACAGACAGAAGTGTAAACTTTATGGTCTTCGGTTTATTTCTCCTGGGAGTTGAACTTTGAAACATCTGGAGTTTGAAGGCCTGCGGTGCCGGACCGGTGCGGAGCCTGTTTTGACACATTGACGCCAGGAACCGTCTGGAAAATGGACAAAAATCAGGTCAGGCTCTTTCCCCACTGCTGGTGTTGATATTCATGCACTTCTCCTGGAGACGCAGGAGAAACTGAAAATACACCAACGAAACGCGCCAGGCTGTAGGAAAAAGAAGCAGACGGTAAAATACATTTAGGATTGTGTTTCCTGTCTGACGGTGAACACACAGGATGAGAAGAAACTGCAAGATCACTGTTTGTGCTGAGATCAGTCGGTCTGGACGGATCCACAGCAGAAACAGGCAGAAGAGAGGAGCAGCATCCAGGCCAGCAGAAAACCTCCATGAAGCATCGACTCATGAACAGATGCTCGGGGGGGTCCCTCTCTGCAGGGGACCCTTAAACTTCACCTCTAACTCTTGGAGTCAACTCTGTGTTAATGAAACTGGATGAACATCTACAACAGATTGACTTTTAAGGTCAATCTGATTCAAAATGGCTGCCACAGCTAATCATCATTAGTCGAAACAAATGTGGCTTCACCTGCTTCAAACAACCCGTTTACAAAGAGTCACCTGAACCTGTAAACGAGTGCAGCTGAAGAGCCATGTGTCCATGAACTTGACAAGAACACGGCCTGTTAACTTCCTGTTAGTGATCGTGACTGACTGGTTCTCTTTGACTAAACAAAGACGATTTGTCAACACTCATGGAGTCCATCAACACTCATCTGTCCTCATCTGTCCCCCTCAGATGGAAGGACATTGGTTCAGATGTTCAGGACAAAACCCAATGTAGATAAGAGACACAGGCATCTCTGTCCACAGTGAGACCAGTGTCTCTGTCCACAGTGAGACCAGT